TTGAATCAGAAACTAGCGATTCAAAGACATCAGGAACACACAGCATCACTTCTGATGAAAGTGGAACCCATATATCCAGTTCCAGGGGCAGCATGCAATGGTAACAGTAGACTGGGAAATCAAATTTCACTGTATTCATAGAGCTAGTGGTGATGCCCCAATAAAAAGTTCCTTGATAAAGATTAACATGAAGCTCAAGGTCAAAAAGGGATGAGGCAGCCCAATTAAAAATCTTAACCAGCAGCAGAAAGCCACAGATTGAAGACAGCATTAGGTGGAGGAGCCTCTTTTGGGCACAGGCCCCCTTACCAGGCCAAGACACCAAAGAGGAGAAAGCAGAAGAGGGACCACAGTCCAGGTCATCTTTTCACAAACAGCAACTCATAAGTAAACAGGAGTGATCCACCTTAGAATCTCACTAATCTAATCAGCAATTCCTCCTACCTCACTGGGCTTGGAGGAGGAACAAGGGAGGTAAGAGAAGGACCAGAGTCCTTTAGTATGCTTTCCTAGAAGCCTGCAGTGATTAGTGAATGTGAACGCTCCCCTCTAATCTGTGCTTTTAAGTTGGTGCATTAAGGTGGTATGGCAAAGGAACTCACTGGCACACAGGTGTTCACTTAAGTAACGGAGGTGGTGGCAGAGACCGGCATCCAGTCTGTGCTAGACTGACCTACCAAACAACCCAGAGAAATTGAGAAAGAGCAAAGAAGTGGGAGAAAAATCAGGAAAGCAGGGTCAGGAAAGGGAGCATTCCAAAGAAGGAAGTGGTTATATAGCATCAGTATCATAAAAATCAACCTATGGGCTATATTTTGACAGTAGAAGTCACTGGTGAATCCAGCAAGAACAGTTTTCATGGTAGCAAGGGTAGCAGCCAGGTTTTAGAGCGGTGGTTCTCAGCCTCAGCTACACTTCTTTTTAAAGACTGAAACCCGTCCCACCTCCCCATGCTGACTTAATGGGTTTGTGGTCCAGTGCAGAATTAGGACGTTTTAAAGCTTCCCAGGTGATGCTAACATGCAGCCGGGGTTAAAAACCACTGCCTCAGTGGACTGCAGAATGGACAGAGTGCAGATAAGGGCAGTATACTTTAGTGGTAGTTAGGCTTTCAAAGGGTTGAGGAAAGGTATTTTTGTTTGAAGCAGGAGTATCTGAACATGTTTAAATGCAAAGCTGTATGTGCCAGGAGTGTGAGGCTGTATCTAGATCAAGTCATTTATCAAGGGAGAGGGCTTAGGGCACAGGAAAAGGGATTCGTCTTGGGCAGAACAGGCACTGGCAAGAAGGTAAGGAAGGGTGTGTGTGAGGGTGTCTAAGCGGGAAGTTCTGCCTGAGGCTGTTACGTGGTGGGGGAGGGCTGAGATTAACTGCTGAGATTGAGAGAAGGTGGGGGTAGAAAGGGTTTATAATAGCCAGTTTGCAGTAGCTGCTGACAACAGGAGGGAGTTTGAGATCAATATTGAGAGCAATTCAAATCGTTACCATGGTTTTGGGGTGGCATCAGTTTGCATGGTCATGAGATTTTTTTTCATGGCCCGCTTGAGGAAGCAAGGTGTAGGACCTATACATAATGAAATGTGTTGATTTTGAGTCAAAGTCACGAAGGCCATCTTTAAGTTCTCTGATATTTTCTTACCCCTTTCAATTAAAAACATTTGAATGAGGGGTCAGCAAGGGTCAGAACTTTCAGAGAAAGAAAACATTAACTTACATAATTTACATCTTAAAGCCTTCTAACTTTTTAGTCTCACACCTTGATAATATCTAGTAACACTAACATTTGTGGCCAGAGGTAGTTTTAACTGGTCTTTAAGATGGAAAAGAAAAATTGTGTGGCGTTTTAAAAGACTGCAAAAATTGAAATGAGAGCTTAACAGCCTACACACATAAGCATCTGAGGAAATGAGAACTCCTAGTGTACCTTTGCAAACACAATGAACTCTTTAGCTATGCATATTCCCTGAAAAGACAGAACCTGGATTTCTGGGCTCTGGCAACCAGTTAGGACCCAGCCCAATTAACACAAGTAAAATATTAAAAAAAAATGGCCACGGTTTTTTTTTTCAAAGCCTTAAGATTAGAGTACCATATTCTGAAATGCTGAATCCACGAGTCAGACAATAACAACAACAACAAAGCATGAGATTGCTATTGGTCTCCAACCCCTGCAGAATCGCTAGCTGAAATCTAAAAAAAGACAACACGGTGTGATTAAGTGGGATCACAGAAAATTGATTTTTACACGCTCTGAAGTACTGAGATTCAATTCTAGCAAGAGATTATCAATAACTCAACAGCTATTTATTACACACCTATGTACCCAAGGTGGTTTTTTCTTCCAATATTTTTTTTTCATTTTTATGAGCCATACTTTAAATGATTCATCATTATTATGCTGGAAAATACATGATACTTTCCTTTGAAACTAAGATCTTATGAACAAATGTGGTAAACTCATACCTTACACAAATCACATTTTTACTGCCAATTGTGAAAAATGACTATCATTCATAGACTAACAACTCATTGTTACATTTTTATCCATTTTTATTTGATTATTCATTTTTTGATATAGGATCTCGCTCTGTCACCCTGGCTGGAGTGCAGTGGCCAGATCATGGCTCACGGCACCCTCAACGTCCTGGGCTCGAGCGATCCTCTTGCCTCTGCCTCCAAAGCAGCTGGGACCACAGGCATGCACCAACACAGCCAGCTAATTTTTAAAAGTGTTTGTAGAGACAAGGTCTCACTATGCTGCATAGGCTGGTCTTCACATCCTGCGATAAAGCAATCCTCCTGCCCTGGCCTCCCAAAGTGTTGGGATTATGGGCGTGAGTCACCACACCCAGGCTTTATCCATTTTCAAGGTTATTTCCATCCATCTAAACATAGCCCTTGATAGCATCCTTTGTCAATTTTTCAAAAAGATCTTTCAGGAGCTTGCAGGGGGAAAAAAAATATGAGAAATAAAGACATTAACAGTTTCTGCAAAGAATTATACAAAAAAAAATCTCTTTACTTATGGAGGGAATATGAGAGCATCTCAGAGCTTAGAAGGAGACTAGTCCATTAAAACATCTTTTTAACTGTGTCAAAGTCTATGGTTCTCAAACTTGAGCATGCACCAGAGCCCCCTGGAGGGCTTACTGAAAGACTGCTGGGCCTTGCGCTGGCAGTTTCTGATTCAGCAGGTCTGGTGTAGGCAAGGTGTGCTGGTGTTGTTGGCCTAGGGACCACACGCTGAGAATTCCTGCTGGGCAGCTCCCTTTCTCTCCACGTTGCTTCCCACTTCTCCACCTTGCCAAGATTGCTTCTTTGCTGAATGTCTTCAGGATGTGCCCCCATTCTTCAATACTGTACTTGAAAAATTTTTTATTCCCTAAATCTGGCAATTTTATCAAGCATTTATGATGTCTACTTGCAGTGGTAGAAAAATGTCTTCTTTCAGCCATAAGTTTGTCTTGCTGGACTTGTTAAAAACCCTATAGTCCATACTCTTCAACAATACTTCTCATCTTCCTTCTTTTTGATGTTGCTGTTTCTGGGCATTTGATGTTCATCTTTTGGAGACGTTAACACAGGAGAAAGCATCTCTGTGCCACTTGCATTTAGTTCTGAGTGATAGAATTCACCATTTTCCTCACCCTTTCTCTCTGTACCAGACTTCTTCTAAGGGGAGAAATTGTTGCCAGTGACAGTAACTCTGTGACCTTTCACAACAGGAGTGGGAGATAAGGAAACACTGACAAATAAAATTGGCAGCTCAAGCACTAGCAGAGGGAAGCAGCTGACAAGAGTTAACTGCTTTTACCATCCCTCCAACCATCGCATGAACCATGACGTCCTCCAAGCCATGCCTCCAACTAGACTGCATCCACAGCTGCGAGAGTGAGCCACTCTGCTCTCAGTCCAGCTCAGATAAGCTTCACAAGACATACAGGGCACTGAACACAGCTGCTAATGCTGAGGTTTTTACAGTCTTCTCCCCAGGGGGAGAAACCTGTGTGGCTCAGAACCACAGTAATGAAGCCAAAATGAAACAAAGACTGGAAATGAATCATGCATCACCACCAGGAGCCTACGCCTGGAGCCAAAGTGGAGAACCCATCGCATCAGCAATGACTGTGCCAGCCTAGTTCCTTTGTCTCAACACTCCGTATCTTCTTCAATTCCAAGTGACTTTAATGATAACTCTGCAGCAACAGAACTTTCCACGCTATATTACAGGTATATAGATACAGCTACAGTGTCTCTAACTCCAAAATGCAAGGCTCTATCAATCTATTTGGAAGTCATAACTAGTTTAGTTACTTGTCCTAGGTGTTGTGCTTTACTTAACAAAGGATGCTCTACAAGCATCACAGACTAAGAAGATTTATTTCAGCTTTTGGCCATTTTGCTACAAAAATAGCCTTGTTAGTAGCCTATTTCATAGCCCAGAAATGTCCTCTAAAATTTCGAATCTCATTTGATTTCTAAACAATTCAAGGCTAATGTGGCCTATTTTCCAATCACATACCACTCAGTAAAAACTATACCCAGCCCCCTCCAAATCTGGTACCAGGTAAACAAGCTACTAATTTCCTTTTATTAGTTCTTACCAAGAGGCAACACAAGGCTGGGGATGGTGGCTCACACCTATTACTACAACACTTAGGGAGGCCGAGGCAGGAAGATTGCTTGAGGTTAGAAGTTCAAGACCAGCAAAGGCAACAGAGCAAGACCCCATCTCTACAAAAACTTAAAAAACTAGCCAGGCGTGGTGGCACACTTCTGTAGTTCTCACAACTCAGGAGGCTGAGGCAGGAGGATGGCTTGAGCTTATGAGGTCAAGGTTACAGTGAGCTATGAACACATCACTGCACTCTAGCCTGAGTGACAGATCAAGAACCTGTCTCTAGGAAACAACAACAACAACACCAACAACAACAACAAAAGGCAACACGAGAGTTCTGTTCCTTTCAAATACTGCATCTGAAAAATAAACTGAAATTCCCTTAAACTCGTAATTAAAACCAACTTTTTATTAACGATCCTCACAGAAGCAGATAATGTTTTGACTTCTGCCCATCGTGGAAAACACACAAAATTAGGATTCAGATAGGCCATCTGTGTAGCCAGCTGGGAAAAATCAGAACCCTGAAATAAATAAAAACTGTTTAACTCAGCTTTAGTTATTACTTTTGAGCAGGTCAAATACATGAGCTCAAGGATCATCCTCAAAGTAAGTCGTGTTTCAGAGTTTTTCAACACTGATTACAAAACCTGATTTTTGAAACTAGGTAATTTCTTTGAAAGATAATAGATTTTTCTTAATTTATGACATTATACACTGTGCCGCATATAAAGAAACTTTAAGTTTTAAGATTCAAAATACACTCATTTATAAGGCTATCCTCTGAAACTGGTTAATACAGAAAGCAAGCAGAATACATTGATTAATAATCCTTAAACATGCACATACAGCACCTTAAAATGAGGAGCACAATTTACAACCCTGTGTTGGAAAGTATTTGTGTGCTTAATATTCTATTCTCTCAGGCAACTAACTTTCTCCCCATTTATTACAGGTAGATGTTGCATTCTTGGGTAATCCCTGTTGAAAGTATTCAAAATGGGTAGAAAAGCATGCCCAAGAAGATAATAAATATTCACGGTATACTGTTTCATAAATAAGCATCTCAGACTGACTCAGGTCTATCACTGAAAAACAAGAGATTATAACCCAGGGCAGAGAAAATCTGAAAGTTTGGGATTCAAGTCCTGGCTTAGTTCTGTGATTTGGAGCAAGTCACTCAACTCTGTGACTGTTTTCGTCTCCTTAAAATGGCATGACTTTGTAGAGATGTTTGAAATGTAAATAATGTTGTATATAAAAATTATTTTTAATCATAGGTAGAAAAGTGGACTATCAGGCAACAAGTTATATAGAAAAAATGTGGGAACACCTTGGCCACCTGACCTTTGGAGGTTTTCACTAATAGGCCATGATCATGGGACCAATCACTGCATGAGTCATACAGCTTGACACAAACAAAAAATTATGTCCACAGATTTCTCTCAAACCCAACCAAGTATGTTAAAAATATATGCCACGGGTCACTATGGTGACAATGCACATGACAACAAAATCTAACCTCATCACTAAAACAATTCAGTGGTACCAATTTATATTCAACAGACATATTTTCTATACTTCTGTGGGTGCAGCCCACAGGGAAGGGAAGTGCAGCCTGGGAAATCCCTGTAAGCACACACACTGCTGCATGAGAGCCACAGGTGACTCAGAGGTCTGCTGGGCCAGTTTCAGCATTCTCCCGTCCCATCATCTCCACTCCTGTTAAGCACACATACTGCTGCATGAGAACCAGAGGCAACTCAGAGGCATGCTGGGCCGGCTTCAGCACTCTCCCACACTGCTGCATGACACGAGAACCAAGGGTGGAACACCCCTGTGAGCACACACACTGCTGCATGAGAACCAAGGGCGACTCAGAGGCATGCTGGGCCGGTTTCAGCACTTTCCCGTCCCATCGTCTCCACCTGCTCTCCCTCTACCATATTCCTGATTATGAACAATTGACATGTTCTCAGTCTTAAAGTGCCATGTAAACTTAGCTTCAAATCCCCTTTTCCAACTAGATTCATGCCCACCCACCTCCCCACTTCATCGATAAAGAAATCTGGAGTTTCCATTGATAAGGACTATAATTGTAAAAGGGAGTATGATAAAGCAACCCATCATTACACTTTGTATGGGAAACAGGGGCAATCGCACTTTGGGGGAAGGAGGTGCTGCCCCATCCAGCACCTATTTAAGACAGAAAATAAGCAGGTGCATGAGTGGGAGTCCCTCTACAATGTGACCAGAGCAGGCAGCAATTCACCAAGAGCTTCTGTGTATTTCAGAGTAAATGCACTCATTGGTATTAAAAAAAAAAGCCCTTCTGTCAGCCAGGCCCCTGAATGAATGACAGACACTCTTGATAATACTTTTTAGAAAGCGTGGCTTCTCTCCAGCAGCTCCAGGCCATCACTTATTTCTCATTTTGACAAAGTAGCATCCAACTTCAGGCACGACTGTATATATAACTCCACATGCAGCTGAGCCATCATAAACACGCCAAATATAAAGGCATGTCAAAAAGACATTTTACCTCCCCAAAGCATGGCCCCAAGAAGTCATTATTATAATAGAGTATGAATTTCTGCTGCAGGTTATTAACCTATAATACTAACAATAAAGTTCTGCTTAGGACATAAAGGCTTACACTGGGACATGAAGTAGTAAGACACAATTCACTGACTATTTTAAATTTGCTGTACACCTAAACCATCTTCACCATTACACCAAGCTGTGTGTGTGCGTGTGCATGTATACACACGTCCTCTTTCAGTAGAACATAAACTCTGAAGATGAGGTAAAATACAATACAGCTGCTGCTGCTGATGAGCTGTCTGAGTTTCTGCAGACAATCTGCAAAAAAATGGAAGTTCTCAAGGCCCAGTTGCTGGTGTCTCTTTTGAGGCTCCAAAATGAGAACCTCGTTGATTTATCTTATTGGCACTCTGCGTGAATCAAGAGTAGGCTCAAAGGCAAGCCTTATCTCCTGCAAACAATTCCATACAGGCCTCAACTCAGTATTTAAATTTGTTTGGAACTGACTACAAATTTGGAACTTCCTCAAATGATATTAAAAGCTCTACACAAAACGTATGCAGAAGCAGTTACTGGTTTTTCAAGAACAAAGACAACTGCAAAAAAGCAACAGCTCTGTAAATGGAGCTGTAGTAAATGTTGAGACAGCAATAACAAGGTAACAAATAGAGCAGAGGATGACCTTTTTGTAAAAAATTGCTGCCTCAGTATTTTACTATTAAAAAAAAAAAAAAGACTCCCACAACATGATCTTCTGAGAGAAAGAGTCCACTGCTGTGTCTGAAAGAGGAGTTGGTTCTGGTGGTGAAAGGACTGAGAATGTCGATTAAGATATGCAAGACTATCTAACACAAAGTCCAACATTTGCTTCAGCAACACCCAGTCAGCTCCTGGAGGGTGAAGTCTTGCTCTCTAGCTGTATCCAGGGCTCTTTTCTTGTGGCATTTTAAAAAATGTAGCAGTAGTTGCATCTGTGGCTTTCTCTGCTGCAGAGGTCCTGACCAACCACTCAGAGCTGGGTGATTTGGGGGCTTGTGATGCTGGTGTGGTTGGCTCCACTGCATCCATGTGAACTAGTAAGGTTACAATAGAGAGGAGCAAAAACATCAAGGGGAGATAAATTAGAACAAGACAAATTAGAATGAGAGACACTTAGAAACAAAATTTTCTTAATCCTTATACTTCATGTCCTAGTAACCTAAGTGGCCACATAAGGTACCTCTTTTTTCTCTACAAAAAAGTAAAGACAAGATTTAAGTAAGATAGTATTTCCTAATCTGAGAAAATGGGTTCAATTGAACAAATAAATAAATAAATTCAGGAGCATGCATTCATAATGTAGTAAAAATCACTTATAAAGTACTTACGTGCCTATTGCTTAAACAATGAATACTCATGATCTTAATTGTTAATACAAACCCTTACTCATAGATACTCGTAGAGATGACTCATAGTGATCTCCACTTTCTAGATCAGGGAACTGAGGTATAGAGAGATCAGATAAATTGTTCAGGGATAAAACAGAGCTGGTTAAATATCAAGATTCAAACACAGATACTGGACTCTAAACCCCACGCTCTTCCTGCCACAACCCATTCCTCCGACAGGGCAGTGTTACCAATAAATATATACCATACAACAAGGAAAATGGCAGAAAAAGAGCACAATCAGGCCCAATATTTTTCCATAAGATCACTAAAGACATTCTGGACAGGAGACATGGCTTGTGCAGAGCTGTCCTGTATACTTCAGAACACTCACCGATCTGGATCCTATCTGCTGAATGCCAGGAACATTCCCCAGTCATTGTGACAAACAAACATTTACTTCACATTTCCAAATGCCCCTGAGCGGAGTGGCACAAACCATCATCTCCACCCACTCTGCTAAGAACAAATATATACTAAAATATGGCAAAACCTAGGAAAGTTTGGATTTTACCCTGTCACCCAATAATTCCACACCCAGAAATGTAACCTAGAACAGTAATTTTCAAATTGCGGGTCACAAAATCAATTTAGTGGGTCATGACCATTACTTTTTTTCCTCAATGAAAAAAATTGAAAGTATCAGCACGCACCCAGGATTTATTTCAGATTTACATGTGCAACCAACACACATATTCAAACATGAATTTCTTATTGTGGGCTAATGTAAAAATATCTTGAAAGCTGTTACTCTAGATACAAGAGTTTCTTGAGGGCAAAAGCTTTCAAACATTTTGGAACTTCACCAGAGCAGCAGGAAATACATTTGACAACTCAAATCTCTCTCTTTTTTTCTCTCATACACACACGCACTCACAACAAACTCAGGCACACATACTCACTCATATTTAACTGGTAATAAATTTCAAAAAACTATACCTACATGGTCACCAAACTGCAGTGAAAAAAGCACTACCCTAGAAAAACTTTTTTTTTTTTTTGCTATTTTTTACTACAGTAAAATACACATAAAATTTGCTATCTTACCCATTTTTAAGTGTACAGTTCAGTTGCATTAAGTACATTCATACTGCTGTGTAACTATCACAACTATTTATCACCAGGACTTTTTCATCATCTCAAATGGAAACCTCGTACCCATTAAACAATAACTCTCCCCATTTCCCTCTTCCCTTGGCCCCTGGCAACCACTATTTGTCTTTCTGTTTCTATGAATTTGACTATTCTAGGCAGCTTATAAAAGTGGAATCATACAACATTTCTCCTTTTATGTCTCACTTATTTCACTTAGCAAATGTCTTCATCCAATTTGTAGCATGTAGCAGTTTCATTCTGAACAAGAAAGCTTTCAAGCTACATAATATTCCGTTGTATGTATACAGCACATTTTGTTCATCCAGCAATGGACATGTGAGTTGTTTCCATCTTGACGATTGCAAATAATGTTGCTGTAAACAAGGTGTGCAAAAATCTATTTTGAGTCTCTGCTTTTCATTCTTTTGGGTATATGCACAGAAACAGAATTGCTGGATCATATGGTAGTTTTATGTTTAATTTTTTGAGGAATTTTTTTTACATACTGTTTTCCACAGCAATGCACAATTTTACCTTCCCACAAGTACTGCACAAGGGTTCCAATTTCTCCACATCCTCACCAACACCTGATGCTCTCTGTTTTTGATACAGCCATCCTAATGAGCGGGAAGTGGCCTCAAAGAATGTTTGCACTTGTTCTCTCAGAGAACAGTGCAGTATTTTCCATAATAGCATAAAACAGGAATACAGTCCAAATGTCCATCAAGAACATTTAATTACGGTATATTAATCATATTCATACAATGGAATACTATATACATGGCAGCTGAAAAATAGATTTTGGCAGGACAAAGCATGACTGAATCTCAAAAACAGAACCGGGTGAAAGCTGCAACATAAAATATGACATACTTTGATTCCATATACAAGGGTTCAAAAACACAAAACTAGACAATATATTGCTTGAAGATATATATGTCTGCTAAAACTACTTGAAAAAAAACAAAAGAATGACAAACGATAAAAAACAATCAGAATAACTTTTACCTCTGAGGAGAGCAGGGAGAAGATTTTTAAAGAAGATTTTAACTTTTGAAAAAAGAAAATTTTAACTTTTTCTTAAAGTGAACGGTAGGTACATGGATATTTGCTGTATTTTCTTTACTCCTTACATATCTGCTATAAACGTTCTTTTATACCCATTCAATATTTACTAAGAAACATGTTTAATTTTAAAAAACATTTAAACTTTAAAAAGAGACAGTGGGCAGTAAGAATTTGCCCTATGACTCCCGAGAAAAGGGACATCCTAAAATGGAACTACTGAATCCAACCATGTGGTTAGAGTACATCAGGAATCACTCTGTTTCACCTTTAAGATTCTAATAATTTATTCTTACAACAAATAACTAGTGGGTTTGTTCCACGGGCTAGGTGTTCATTTAGATGCTAGGGGTACAGTAGTGAGCAAAACAGATACGCAGTCCTGCTCTTGTGAATGCATCTGACAATCCATTTGACAATTCAAATCTCTCTCTCTCTCTCTTTCTCTCTCTTATGTCACTGACCTAGTATTTGAAACCTGACGTAACTAATTAGCAGATTAACTATTCGGTATCCTTCTGAATGATACTCTAAGCACACATATCCTATCCCAGAAAGAGAAAGGTCAGAAAAAGTTTTTGGGATAGCTAAAATATACTCACACAAATAGCTGGGTTCTCAACAGAATTTCTGATCACCTCAATTCCGCTTTATCAAAAGCCATGTGTTTACTTTTTGAAGGATTGGAATCTGCATGCCGATGGCTCTGATCTACCATTCTGATGAAGAAAATCATTTCAAGAAAACGAAGTCTGGTTTTCATCTGGGTTTATTACGTTTTTTATAGCTACTTAGTCTCAAATTTTGGAGAAGATAATCCATTTTTTTTCTTTTCTGAGTACATTCTTTAAGAGCATATTCAGCTAGTTCACTTCAGCATGAGGGAGACACTTGTGGGAAAATCCCTGTTCTGGTGTATCAAGTCTCAGAAGCAGGTTAGCATGCTTACTCACTAAGATCCAGGATGGAGTTCTGTGCAGTCGACACTTGCAGGCTAGAAAGCCATAAGGAGGGGAGAATGAAGATACAAAGAAAATAAAGGTGCTACACTTTCAAAATGGGTCTATTTAACAACCCTATGGTCATTTATGGTCTTTTTCCTTGGCCTTTTGTTACTATTAGTACAAAAAGACAAGGAAGACATACTGTTTCTTCCTGCTCTTCACCTCTCTACCCTTATTAATATCTTTAAATTCAGTCAATTTCAACTCAAAACTTTCTACCAGTGGGGGAGGGGAAGAAAGGGAAAAGATTTGTGGCTGCATGTTTAAGAAAGAAGCTGAATTCATCACAGTGACAGGGGAGAGTGTTGGCAGAGATCTGAGCTATTTATTCTTTTAGGAAAATCCTATAAAGAATGACACAAGGAAGCCTCTATCTGCAGTCTTGTTCATCACACTGGTGAAGAGTCCGATAACAGATGTATGCAGTAGCGTGATTTAGTGCCAGGAGCTGGCCCCTGATGTGTATTAATACAGCGGCAAAGCGGAACGCACCTCTCTTCATCACTCATTCCCATAAAAGAGGTGGAATCCGAGATGGCCCGATGTTAGGCAGAGCAAGCCCATTTGTTCTACTGACTGATGGCACAGACTCAGGCTATGTCCTTCACCTCCATGGGGCACTCAGGTTGTGGGTAGAAAAAAAAGAAAATGCTCAGTGAAGCAGGGCTTAGTCAACAAGTGAGAGAAGAGGAGCTGGGCTCAGGAGGGGAAATGTTTAATGCTCAAGTCTTGTTTAATACCCACCCCCACACACGTACATTTCCCAACCTGAATATGGAATGAGGATTTTAAACTCTTCCCAATGGTTCGTTCCTCTCTTATAAACAATTAAAAGCTAAAACCAGAAGCTAGATATTAAGGAGGAAAAAAAAGAACAAAAAGATAAAAGAGGGGTGGTTTTCTTTTAATGCTTCCAATACCATAGACTGAATGAGGATCTGAGTTTTGATGCGGGGTCATAGTCTGGACTTGATCCTATTGTATATAAAAAGAAGAACACCTGCAGTGCTGGAGAGGACAGCTCTAGAGTCACAGGGAAACTGGTCTGATCTTGGCTCTGCAATTTATCAACCATGTGGCCTCAGGGAAGTGATTTAAGCCTTGGTTTTCTCATGTGTAAACTGGGAATAAAAACAGCGTCTACCTTACAAGGCTGTTGCAAAGATTAGGTGAAATAATGTTTACAAAGTGTTCAGCTCAGGGCCTGGCCATGTGGAAAGCACTAAAAAAAAAAAAAAAAAAAAAAGGTACTATAATCATCAGACCTGTGATGAAGACTGTCCAGTATGAACACCATCAAGCAGACATCACAAACAGAAGCTCAAAGAGGACAATTTCACAGTTCACCAAAACTTACTAAGTCAAGGTAGAGGATAGGGCTCCCTCCCCATCTGTCTGAGGTTTACTCTCTATTCAGCTATCAACTGCTCTGATCTATATAATAGGTAGCATTTTCTAAAGAAAATAAAATATTCAATGACATATTCAATATCCAGTTTTCTCACAGAAATATTAATAAATACATAACTCTCCCCTTTTTTTCATTGAAGGATAACATACACACAGTGAAGGACATCAATCCTAAGTGCACAGCTCCAGATTCTACCTATGTAAGCAGCCATACACCCCACCAAATTCATCATATGGAGCACTGCCAACAGCCCAGGTTTTCTTGTGCCCTCTCTTGGTCACTGCTCGCCCCGCCCCCCACCAAAGATAAGCACTATTTTGGCTTCTACCAATTAGTGTTAGTTTTGTTTAAAAAAAAAAAAACAAAACCTGAAAAGTTTTAGCCTAAAAAAGTTTTTAATTAGGAATGTCATGACCAATAAAATATTAGCATTCCACTTATAAAAGCAGTGAGAATGTACTGTACTATATGCAAAATAAGAAAGTAAATAACCCCGTGTGACTGCCTGACTGCTGATTGAACTGCCACCTCACCTGGACTTTCATTAACATGGACCTAATTTCCTGTCTGTGCTAAAACAAAAGCTCAGATGACTGGAGATTGCTGATAGTGGAATATAGGGTTTCAAACTCTAGATAGTCATGTAACAGTGAAAAAGCATAGACTTCAGAGTCAGCGAGAACTAGGCTAATTATTTCTTGTAGTCTCAGTTTTCCCATGTAAAGTGGGAAAAAAATGATCTACACTATCACAAACATTACATGAAAAGGTATACGAAATACATAATTTAGTGCCTGACACACGGTACATGCTCAATGAATGATAACTGCATGTAATCACCTGCACTGGGGCTAGACAAAGATGCTGTGGCCACTGGTTTCCGCTTCCTCTTGATGTCACGTGAACATGGTGGTCCCCAATGTACATTTGCCTGTCTGCAGATGTAAGAAGAGGAAAAAGGTTTGAACTTTTTAATTCTTATTGTAAGACATTACATGTAGCCCAGTTTAAATCCTTAACCCATTACAGACATAAATAAAATGGGCACCGTCTTTTGCCATTAAGCATTGGGACACCATTATTCAGAATTAATAATAACTCACTCTTTATCCACAATACACACCCACTCTAAACTTTTTACCTGATTTCAGTGTAGGAGGCATTCAAGATTAATTTCAATAAATATGTGTTGCATTACATGCTTACTTTTATATAATTATTTTTCATAAAAACTATAACCACAATTGTTCTAAACTCACTAATGAAATACTTACTCCCAAGAGGTAATATATTGAAGAGTTTAATGCTGCAAGAACACAGATATTTGCACAGAATTTTAATAGGAAGTTTAACCTCCTGCCATGTAAATCTGAATTTTTAATACTGTCTACATCACAAGTTAAGTAAGTTTGGCTTCTGTGACTTTTAAAAATACTAATTATGTTTTTTATTTTACAGGCAAAAAAAGAAAATAAAAATATTAATTATGTGACAATATGTTCCTTCATCTGAATATTCAGCTTATTTTAAAAGCAAATGATTCTGTGAAAGACAATGGGCTTAACACTGAACTAGCTGGTATGCTATTTTAGTTCACCACTGTTCCCCCAAGAATGTATTGTACTGTATGCAAATTAAGAAGTAAAATAAAAATCTTTACGTATGTTACAAAGTATTCAGCTCAGGGCCTGGCCATGTGGAAAGCACTAAAAAAAATCTTTATGTATGTAAAGATTTTGTCCCTCTCAAACTAGACAGATCCTGCCCCTGATTAAAGACCAAAATGAGTCTCATCTTTACACAAAGTGTTCCCTTGAACATTTGGGGCCTCATCTACCATGAAGCAATGTTTAACTGGTGTGCATATATCTTGCTTCTCTGATGAAACAAGAAGGCTTAATCTCTTTGAGATTAAGAACAGGGATCTTGAGAACAAACTTTATTTAAACTTCTTTGATAATTTTCCAATGATCTACCAACCTTGGCTCAAGGCACACAGGCGATCCTCATCAGCTGTTGATTAAAACTGCTATGAATGAATAAAAGTTCTAAAAATCAAATGGCCAACTGAATGAACACTTAAAAGTGGTTAAAATAGTAAATTTTATATTATGTACATTTTACAATTTAAAAAAACTAGCCAAAGTAAATAACATATAAAATTATACCAGATAAACTCCTAATCAGTAGTCCTAGCTGAGGATCAAGACCCTTAGTAGTTTTAAAACTGGAACCTCAGACAAACCTAAGAAAACCTGGTTAGCAAGGCAACAAGACAGCTGGCGAGCGGACAAATTTTTTGACTCAGAAAGCCCCCAAAATAACTTGCACAGTTGAAAGGGGTGCATGCATGCATGTGCGCGCATGCACACACGCACACACACACACACACTTTCAATTCTCTAAATAGCAAAAGCTTAAGAGTCAATTCAATTTATAAATAGGAAAACATAAGAATTTGATTAAAATCCTAACAAACTAGGAATGTGAAGAATGTTACAGGCTGAGATTTATAATACAAAGCCAATGGTTTGGAAAATTCCATCCAAAGCACCTTTTATTGATCACTCTGTCCTGTACAGAAAATTAAGTCAAATACCTCATGAATAATTAATTCTGAAAGCCCAAATAGTTAATTCTAAATAGCTAATTATAAATGTGTAAAGTAGAGAAAACACTTCCTTTTTCATACCTTGCCTTGCAAAAATCCTGGGAATAAGTCTAGGGAGCATGCTGATTTAATAACAAATTAACATAGAGGACAACATCAAAGGTAGACAGGACTTCAGTCTGAATGGAGTGCTGGTAATTCCCTTTGAAGTCCAGACACAAGCAGAAAATAAAGTTGACATGACAAAATTGTGTTTCTCCTCAAAACAGAAATGTGGAACACATATAGCATCCATCTTTTCCACAAACATGGGACTTGAGTACAGACCCAAACTGAGACTATCCAAGCACTCTGATCTTATTCAATCATCCTTATCCTCAGGCATGATTCAGAAGGAGAAACAAAGTCAAACAAAGGCTAACATAGTCATGTATAGTCATGCTTTTTTCCTCTTTATCTGAAGCTCATTAAAGGAACCTCCAAAGCTTTTCAGAAAAAATGTTGACACCATTGCTTCAAGCTAAACCATGTTACTGTTAGACATCAGGATGGTGGCGCTCTACAGCAGTGGCGAGGGGGAAGACAGGCAGAGAAAGAGGCACAGGGAGCTTCTGGGGTTCTTCTGATAATGCTCTTTTTCTTCATCTGGATGCTTGTTACTTGACTGTAACTTTGTGACTGTTCATTGAGTGTATATTTCTTTGTACTCTTCCCTGTATGTTTATCCTTCAATAAAAAGTTAATTAAAAACATTGCTTCTTCAAGATCACAGTTTACAATATGCTGAGTTTCATGAGACAGACGCAAAATGAGAAGCATAAGTACTCAACAAGTATATTAAGATATTAATTCTTGGAGTATCAACTTGAGCTACACAAATACTGCCTTTTATTTGCCCCCATCCATCATTTTCACCATTTTGCATACTTGACATATGTCAGTAACATGGGAAAAGGCCCATATTATCAACTCTTTTATGGATCTAGTCAGTACTGCTTATCTCACACTTTCAAGGAATGATAATGTCATTCTGGAAGTAAAAAAAAAATTTATGCACTACAATGTTTAAGTTTTTAACAACTTTTAATGGAAATGCTTATTTACTTTAGCAAACTGCGAATAAGTATTACTTACCTATTATTACGCACACAGGTTATTACACTGCAACATCTTAGGGTGTTATTGGGGGTTCAATGGCTCAGGTGGTCCTTCCACCACCCTGCTCCTCTAGGCGATATTGTTTAGCCTTCAGGTCAATTGTCTCTACATTAATTGACCCTTGACTGTTATGCCTCCAGCATATTACTTCTCTCTGTGGTAAATGGTCTACTTCTACCACCCCATTCCCACCTCTAACTGTTGTCTTGAATATCCTAAATCCTTCAGATTTTGTAAATTCCTCTGGTTACAACAGGAAAGAACTGAAGACTTTCTAAGAAATCAAGTAATGAAGTTTGTTAAGTGAATTATTTTATTGTAAAAGTAATGTACTTTTGTGGACTATTTCCTTTCTACTAAGCAGTTTTGTTGCTTCTTTCATTGTTCACTAAATTTTTACTGAGCACCTACTCTTGCCAAGCACTGTACTAAACACTAGGAATATAGTGATAAACAAGTGACAATCTCTGCCTTGATGGATCTTATAGTCAAGTTCTACCTGCAGCTGTGCAGCTTTTCAGATTACAGAATATGAATAACAAAGAAACAAGGGTATCAATAAAGAGAAGGTACGTTCATTTTTAAAACTCAATTTAAATGATCCTTCCCTCTTAAAACATTTCTCTTAAGACACATTTTGAGGTTGGAGAGCTATTTCATAGGAGGTAGAATAACATCATATCTTAGCAGTCAGTATACGAGGACATTTTTCTCTATGTCCCTTCCTAGACAAGATTTGGGGAGGGAAGAAGAGAAACGATCAAACTGTTATAATAGGACAGTAAGACATTTTGCTTCTGTCTTGATTTTAAGTGAACATTAGTACTGCTAGAGTTTACAGCTTGGGAAAATCTATTTTTCTATGTGAAAGCCCCATCCACTTGGAAAGAACCCTAGAGGACAAAGGAGGAAGAGGACCCAGAACAAGCCTGCTACACAATGGAATACTATTCAGGCATTGAAAAAAAAAAAAGAGTAAATCCTGTCATTCACAGCCACATGGATGGAACCAGAGGACATTAGGTTAAGTGAAAACAAGCCAGGAACAGAAAGTTAAACACCATCAGTTCTCACTCATAAGTGGAAGCTTAAAAAAGTTGATCTCATAGAAGTAAAAAGTAGAACAGAGGATACCTCCGGCTGGGGTATGGGAAGGGAGGGATAGAAAAGGATTTATTAAAAGATATAAACTTAGAGCTAGATAGGAGGAATAAATTCTAGCATTCTACAGTACTGTAGGGTGACTATAGTTAACAATTATATATTACACAGTTTCAAATAGCTAGGAGGATATTGAATGCTTCTAACAAAAAGAAATGATAAATGTTTTGAGCAGATGTATATGCTAATGACCCTGATTTAATCACTACATATTGTATGTATTGAAATGCCACTGTATACCCCATAAATACGTACAACCATTATGTGTCAGTTTTTTAAAATAAAATAAAAATTTAAAAAGAAGAACTAAAAAAAAAGAACAAGCCTGGGGAAAAGAAGAAGGAAGCTGGGTGCTTAGAGCAAGAGGATTCAGAGGCAGGAAACAGAAGCTGTCATGCAGCATGGCACGTCCAGAATATTAGCACAGCCCTGCTCAGGAGTAAAGAATACTACCACGTGTAGGGCTGGCAGGGCTGCCTGTATTATTTTGGGGAACCTTAGCATGTGGATAAGGCAACTGCTACAGCTTCGGCTTCCTATCGAAGAGGTAGTTCCAGTTTTTTGTTTATCCCCAAATAATTCCAGATCATCAAGGGTTGCAGACATAAAAAATTAAAGAAGGGAAGGAAAAATAAAGAGGTTGACCACCTCTCCAACCCCATTTTCATTTAGGGGTACTTAACAACCACTTGGCTCCTTTTCTTTTTAACGTGTTATTTATTTAATGTGTGTTATTTTACTTTGAAAGCATCACTGTTTACTCTCAAAATGGAAACTAAAAGAGGGACAAAAGCACAAACGCGGTAACAAAAAGGATAAAAAGAGTCTAAGCTTCTCTTTCTCACCAACACAGAGACCCTTCCGGCAAGTAGAAAGGGTAAAAGACTAACGAGATATTTCAAAACTGTTTTTCAAGAGTAGTATATGGTTGTTCTTGGGTTGCAAACCATGTAATATTTTAGGGGAAGTGATCTTTCAATTAGGCATATGTATAAAAGGCTAAGT